ATAATTATAATAAGTTATAGTGATGATTTCAAAATTCATTACAAATTTCTGTCACCAAAAACCATTTTTCTTGTAGTGATTACAACTTACAAAAGAGGATTTTTCCTTTTTGGCTAGATTAAGTTAGTGTAAAAGTAGAATTTGGATCAGGAAAAATAGAAAACAGAGTGTGGTGGTATTTATGTCCCGTCATGCTCCCACTGTTTTTTCTTTATTTTCCTTTAGAAGAATTCAGTGCACATTATTAAGTTCTGCAATCCAGTATCTTTTAGAAAATTCAAAATATACATACCTATAGGAGAAACAAGTAATCTGGAGAAAATTCCAACTTATGGTGGTCACCAAGTTGTCATTATATACAGTGTCTACTACTTACAATAAATTAATTGGATTCTTTCTTTACTTGTGGTGATCACGAAGTTGTCCATTCATGTGTACATGGTCCACCTACAATAAATTCCATCCTTTTTGATCTTAACAACTCAATGGCCTTCACGTCAAAATCTGGAGAAGATATCATATATGGTGTACCTACAATAAATTAATGCATTCTTTTAATTCTTTTATGTTCTCTGTTGACATTGTTCAATCTTTGTGTTCCATTGCAGCTATTTAGATATCCAAGCAGAAAGGTTCTGAAACTCAAATAGCAGAACCAAAAGGTAAAATTTGGACCATTTTTCCCTGACAGTTTTCATTTTTGTTCTGCTGAATTAATCTTGATTTTGTTCTTATCACTCTAAATGAATATAATGGTTTTGGGTAAACATAAATTTGAATTTTCTTTTAGGTTTTTGATTTAGGGAGCTCCTGCTCATAAATTAAAGGTCAAGTCTTGTTGTCTGTTGCATGGATGCTTCCAAGAGAGGAAACTAAAATTTCCAAAGTTGATTAATTCAAATCTGTCTTAATTAACTTGTGTTTTCTAGCTTGAGAGAGACCAGAGCAGGTAAGTCAACAAGATAATGGTCTGCTATTTCTTTAAGTTGATTTCAGCGTGTTCCACACTCCTAGTTATTTGTATTGTTGAATTCTGCTATCAAACTATCTGGCCCAGTGTACCTTTCTGCTAAAATTTTCCAAACTGGCATCTTGCTAAGCTTAGACTGTCATATATTTATAACTTCTTTTATGCTAAACACATAAAAAGATAGGAATTAGAGGGTTCTTTTAATAATATTGTCCAAATAAGTAACTTTTTGTAACACAATCATAGTCCAAATAATTACGTTCATCCATAATTTCAACATAACCATTTCACACAATCATGTTGCATTACTTCTCTGAAAATGAGAGAGTAAATCACCTTGGGGGGTTGTTTTAAGTTTCAGTATGCTTCTTCACACTTCGAGGACTCAACTTCTTGATTCTGTCTTGCTGGTCCAATGATAA